TTGCTGGTCGGCTGTTCCGGCGGCTGATCTAGCGACCTCCATTGACGATCCAAGCTCTAAGTCCAACATCTTGAGCCCGTCCTTGAGGCTGTGGTGGCTGACCTTCATCGAAATAGCCATTGGATTCACTTGATTTCGCTAGTGTTTACTTTTTGTTCTTTCTAAATTTAGGATCATTTTCTCATACCTTTTGTGTTATGATCTAGATTTTGGAGAGCCATTTTTAGCACCATTACGAAGTCTTTTGGTGGCCGAATAGCTCACATGACCTTGACAAGTTCATCGTACAGGGTATGTGCTCCTCAACTAAGTTTAGAACAGGATAATTGAATTGAGATGGCCGAATGCATGGTGAAATGAATGAAGGCCAATTGTGATATGTTTGCTGATTGGGTGTGTAGAATGTTGCATGTTAAGCAATCCATGTGCAGGAGTCGTTCGATGAATGTTTGGAATATGTTGTTAAGATTCTGCAATTTTCGTGCTATACTGAGTCAGTGTGCTTCCATTGCTGATTTGAATTCGAAGATGTTGAAATATGGAAAAATACTTAGCTAATAATTTGCAAGGAACGTTCTAAGCTTCGATTTGGTATATTGTACGTCATGAACGGACATCATTTACTAAGTCAAATGATCTTCGAAATCAATAGGTAGAATCTGGAAAATGAGTTCTCTGTTCTGTTTCTATGTTTCTCGTCCCGACCTTTTTTGGTTCAACAATTTTTCTGATTTTTTGTGTTTATCATTTGAGAAAATTTCCTTTATGAAAGTTGTAGAAAACATCCTTACCTGTAAAACCTAAAAATTTCATGTTGATTAGAGTGGTCCGATGAATGCTTGAAAAAGACGTCACTAAACTGTGTTTTGATCTGAAAATTTTCAATTTCAGTGATTGATTTTGTTTTGCAATTTTCGTAAAGTTTGAGTCATTTTCTGCAAAAACTCAAAACTCCAAAGTTGTTCATTGAGGTCTCAATTTGAGAACTGGAAGGTTCGAGGACCTAATGACAACATTTTGGAGGTCAATTTGACAAAAACTTCGGATAAAGTTAGTTTGGCCTTAAAACTGTTTGCAACTGAGTCCCAGGTAAAATCAGGGGGTTTTTAGCAAAAACTAAAAACACAAAAGTTGTTCATCACATATTTTCCTAACTGCCTGCAAAATGTCACTGGGTTTGAACATTTTTTACTGTTTTTCCCACATTTTTTTCAATTCACGGGCTAAAACCGGGTTGAGTCTGGGGTATCTGGGTCAAATCTCAATTTTTGAATAAATCAGGTAAGAATCGATCGAAATGGTTTTCATGAACTTTGAACCTCACATCCTATGCTTTCTAATGATGCCTGAACCGTGTCAATCAGACTTCATTTGGTAAGCTAATTGGGTCGAAACAAAAATTGCTTGAATTTGATCTGTAATTGAATAAGTGATTCTCATAAGGTTCACTTTCCTTTGTGTGAATGATTGAGAAACAAGGTCACTTAGGCCTAATTGCATGTTTAATTCCTTTCTTATGCATGTGATTGCTAGATGAATGCTTCGACAATTGTTTTGTCTATGCAAATGGTGGCCGATTATCATTAACCATTAATCAATCAATGTTAGTTGATTAAGTGTTTGGGTGATCGAAATGCATGAAAGCAAAGGCCGATCCTGAGGCCAATTCAATGCTTTGATAATTGAACATTATTATCTTGCTTTGATTGTATGCTTGCATGTTATTTGTTGGGAATGTATAGTTCAAATATAAAACCAACACCCATGAAGCAGTCCATGGAGGAGGCGGCCAAGAGACATGAAGATGAGAAGCCAAAAGACCGATGTCCAATCCGGTCTCATTTTTGTATCCCATTCGATACCCAATCATGTCTTGGATTTTCAATTTATGTTGTAATAGCATCCGACGAGTTGCGGGCTTTCTTTCTTCAAACTTAGATTAGCTCACCTTTCAATTTCATTGAGTGTTTACTTTAAGCTCGGTCTTTTCAATACAATTTTTTGTTTATTTCTTTTCTAGACTAAGATAGGATTAGTTGAGACTTTTAAAACGAACCTTCAGACAAGTATGTTGCATGGACACTTAGTGGATTAGTACTTTGACATCAAAATTGTAAAAACAAATGTATGGCCATTTAGATAACAACCAAACAAGTTAGCGGTACCGAAAGAACGTTAATAGAAACATTAACGTAACCTAGTCCCTGAACCTAGATATCTTTGGTTCCGTAGAAATCGAAACGAAATTCCCACATTTCGATTGGGTATTCTAGCCGACCCCTAACAAAAGGCTAGTGGTGACTCTTAAATTGATAAAAACATAGAAATGATCCCGTGTCACGCGAGGTATAGATTGAGGGAGAATCAATGTTTATGGTTAATGGATCTTATGGTTGAACCAAAGGAATGACGTTTTTTAGTCTACTTTTGCGATATAACATTTGGAACATTCCCAAGAACAATTATCTCTAAACCTATGCCCGAGGCAGCCCTCAAGGGGTAGGTCAAGACAGGCTAACCTTTCCCAACGTCTCATTGAAGATCAATCGAGAGAAGTTGCACCAAATCCTCATATATTGGCCACTATGAAGAGATCGTTCAAAGAGTAGTAGAATGACGTAACCAATTATATTGTGAGTCACATGTCATACATGATCAAGCTAATCATCCTCAATGCCATGAATGATATTTTCTTGAGGTCAAGATTGTCCAATCAACCACTACTATCCAATCTAGTGGTAACATGGTACGTTCCTAATCCCTCTTCATTTATTGATACCGATAATTTTGCTCAGAGTAGTCAACCCCCTATAAGAATTATGCAAATGCCTAAATCTTCTAATCAATGTCACATTGATAAGAATAAGCAGGTTGATGTTGGTCAAAATAACAAAATTGGTGATAATAATTTGGCAAATCAAACTGGTCAACCGGCCGGTCAATTGCTAAATGTTGAAAATATAAGGCCAATTCCACTCAATGTGAATAATCCTATTAGACCTCACATGCCGATCAATGTTAATAATCTGGCAAGACCAGCATTACTGCCTAGGAGGCAAAATGGCCAACCAAATCTAAAATTGAACCTAGTATAGTTTGTTGAAGAAGATCGACAACGATTGGATTAGATAGGGGTGTTATCATACCACAGCTTGAATGGGTCAATAACTAGCCTTTTCCAATAGGCTTTGAAATCCTTGAATTTGCCATTTTTACTAGCGAAGATGAACAATCAACTATTGAACACATTTGTTGATTTATAGCCCAATGCGGAGAAGTAGGGACAACTAAATTTTTAAGACTTGCGTTATTTCCTTTGTCTTTGTGAAAAACTAATTTGACCCGATATATCAATTTACCACCAAATTCAATGTGTAATTGGGCAGAGATTGAGAGACAATTTCATTCTCAATTTTACAGAACGATACTTGAGGTATCGATTGTTGATTTGGCCACTCTATCAATACAATAACGAGTCGGTCAATCAGTTTGTTGCTTGATTCAAAAAGGCTATAAATAGATGCTTTACTTCAGTCTCAAAAAAAGAATTCATAAATTTAGCTTTCAACGGATTGAAATTCAATCTAAGAGAAAAATTTGAAGGCCAAAATTTTGCCAATTTATTTGAATTGGCAATGAGAGTATCTAAAGAGGAGCAACTACTTAAGGACAGAGATAGAGGGCAACATGAACACTATACATAAAATGTGGCTTTCATGAAAAAAAAAACACGTTTCAGATGACGTATCTAACAAAGATAGCATTCGGCAAAGAAAAATAGAATTTGCCGAAGACAAGAGACACTTGATGACTTAAAAGAATCGAATGATCCATAAATTATTCAATTCTTTTAAAGGGGCATATGTTTACACTTAAAAATGACCAACTTTTGGTTATTATGGACAATCGATAGACTTAGTCGATGATAGCAGAGTTTGGTCATTTATGAACAGAATTACCGATAACTTGAAGGGAATCGACAACTCACCAGTGAAGTCATTGACAACACAATGTAAAATTATCATCAAGAGTCTTGAAGTTTTTTGACAAAGTTATCGACATCGATGGTGAGCAATTGACACGAAGATAACCGTTGGTTGGTTATGTCATGTCCATCTGTGAAGTAACTTCTAGCAACCACCAAAAGGGAGTTATTCGTTTTTTCAAATTTAGTGACCACCATATGTAACCGCCGTTTGTAAGAGTTATAAATACCTCAAGTGTACTCTTTGTAAAGGCTCCTTCAATCAATCACAAAACTTAATGTTCTTTATTTTTATCTTTACTTTTCCCCAATATATTTTTTCTGTATCTTTCAATTCTCGTATTTAGTCGTAGTTTCAAATATCTTCGTCGTTGATTGAGGTTCGACGTTGTATCTTTATCATTGCACATTGTCGTCGATTAAATTCCGCCAAAGTGTTTTGTACTTCATTATCGATTAAATTATGCGAAGCATATCTCTACCTTGTGATTCATTAATACTCCTGTCCGGAATCAGCACAGACCCCATCTATCCTTAATAAAATGGAAGAACCGATTTCGGTGAAAGATATTTTGTCGATTGGGACGATTTTCAGCAAAACAAATTCCAATTGAACTCTTTAGACGGGAAAAAACACAAATGAGACTTGATATTTTTCAAGTGATCGTAGATAGAGCAAGACCATTGTGATCTAGCTAGAATGATGTGAAAGGTATGGTGGATGTGGTGATGCATGCACGCGGAGATAAAAGTGGTGGAGATCATCAATAGATGAGAATCAACATCGGTCGTGGGAAAACAACCGGAATTAGATGGACAAGAAAAGTAAAATGAGGTGGGAACAGTTATTGCAACCAAACTCGCTAGGCAGTAACAGTTACAAAAAGCAATATCGAATGCAAAAATGCCATTATTCTAATGTTACCTAAATTTAAAGGAGGTTTCTTGAGGATGAGAAAGTCTCAGGCATTGTTGTTTGCACAAAATGAAAGACCCTCTCAGGCCTATCTCCCAATTTAAAGTAGCTAATGTAGAATTCTTTCTTTTTTGGTTCCCAATGATTACTCTATACATGAAACTAACGAGTCAATCATACTTTAACACGTACGTCAAACGAAAAAATCAACTGTCACTTCTTGGACACGCTCTCAATCTAGACAGAACATCTTCTAAGCACACAAGTCGTGAGCAAGCGTTCTCGCAGATCCTAGCGCCCACGGACAATTAAACTGGAGGGTACATTGCATAGTCTCCGGAGATTGTCGCATCTGAAGATGTCGAGTTCTTGGAGACAAGGTAGGCGGTGTAAAGTTGTAGGTAGGCCAGAAATCTTAGTGTCGGACAGTTTCAAGATTGCCAAAGACGACAATCTCCAAATCTTAGAGGGGATTCTCCCCTCTAAACTCTGGCATAGTGAGAAATCTATCTCTTCCAGCTTCTCCAAATTCAGTATAGCTTCAGGAAACTCCCGTATGAAAGTATCCCTCATCCTAAGCACTTTCATAGCTTTCAAATCCTTGACTGAAGGAGGTAACTTCTGAATCATAGTGTGAGATAAATCCAGAAACTGCAGTGACCTGAGCTTCCCTATTCCATCTGGAAGTCTGGATAGCCTCCGGCAGTTCTTCAGAGACAGAGTCTTCAGTTCCCCCAACGATCCGATATCCTCCCAGAGGGTATCAATTTCAGTGCCGTCTAGAGCGAGATTAGTGAGAGACTTTAAGGACCTGATCGAATCGGATATTTCAGTCAGTTTCTTACAATCGCAAGCACTGAGAATTTTGAGCTTCCTCATGGAACCTTCTTGGAAATTAATCCGAGCAATCGAAGTCCCATCGATTACCAGCTCTTTCAAGCCTCTTATGTGACCCAAATCTGGCAATTCATAGAGAGGACTGCACTGCTTCATATTCAAAGAAACCAATTCCTTCAGATTCCTAAATGATGAATCGGTAACTGCTAATTTTAGGCAACCTTCCAGAATTAGTCTTTCCAGCTTCATTGAAGGAGGAAAGTTTGGAGTGGCAATCAATTGGACACAACCAGTTAGTTTCAAAACTTTCAGTTTTTTTGCCTGCAAGACAAATAGGATATTATAGTAAATGTTTAGTTCCTCAGGAATACATCCTCAAACGAAACAAAATGTATGAAGATAATAAAATAATGTGATTGTGTTAGATTTTGGTGTTAGTATTTGTATTTAGGGATGTAAAAATATGTGGGCATTCTCGGGAAACGTAACAACAATGGTAAATGAAAAGTGGTGTTGCCAGTGGTAATGTGCACTGAACTTTGGTGTTGCTAGTTGGTCTCGTGTACATGATCGAACATCCACCGACTTATAAGTGCAATTTTATCTCTGAATTTGTCCGAGATATTCTTCCTCGGACATATTTATGGCCACAAATTTTAACTACCTCCTCTTAAGACTAAACTTTAGACTTGTATAACATTAATCTTATAGGACTCTAGGCTATTCTAGACAATTGATCATTACTTCAACAATTCCATACCTGCACAAGCAGCTTCCAACCTCTCCAGTCTTTGTCAACCTGACTCCATGACAAATCCAAAATCACCAAGTTTTTCAAATTCAGATTTAGCGATTGAACGTCAAAAATCTTAGGGCACCCTTGCCAATCAAGCCACCTTAAGCTCGATAGACGACGCCCAAAGTTACCCTGAATATCAGCCTGATCCAGCTTGAGGAACCTCAAGTTCTGTAAACCATCAAATCGATCAGATTTAAAACTGATATTTCCTTTGGATCCGTGACGATACTCAAGGCTGAGGGCTTCAACTTTGTTATTACCCTGTCAATCAAGAAAAAATAAATAACTCATAAAAAGTGGAGCTGTATTTTAGCATCACGCTTAAAGAAGAAAAGATGTGGCGCAGTGCTTGCTGAAGTTACCTTCCTCTTTTTTAGTACATGCAGTGCATCTTTGTGGTCGTACAGCCTACTGCGCTTCGAAGGCTCACGTTGGTTTTCCTTTATGACAATTTCCCGGCCAAAGTTCTTCAGTATTTCATGCATGCATAGTTCTTTATCCTCTCCGATTTTTACGAAAGACCAGACATCAAGAGCTGGAATCGATATATAAGGACAATACTTACAGTCATGCCACATGTAAGAGGGGATTCTCTTGTCCTTTCCGATGAAGAAGCATGCTATATCAAGAAATATTTCCTGTTCATTCTTATCTAGGTTGGTATAGCTCTTCTTCAAGGCTGCTTGAACTCTCTTATGAGGAGCCACTTGCAGTGCATTCAATGTTTCCTTCCACGCTTTCTCTTTTTTGACAAGAGACAGAGATGAACCTACCAGCTTGAGCGCAAAAGGAAGCCGGTCTGTAGCCTCAACCATTTCTTTTGACAGAGTCCTGAATTTCTCAAGGGGAAAATCCATTCCAAAAGCATGCCGACAGAATAACTTCAGAGCATCATCTTTTTCCATCCGTTCAAGGACAAAACTTTCCGCACCATTGATGTTCTTAAGGACGTCTCGCCTTTGGGATGTCACAATGACCCTGCTCCCCGGGCCAAGCCAATCAAGCTTTCCGACTAATGCGCTGAGCTGTTCATCATTATTAACATCGTCAAGGAGAAGGAGGACCTTCATGGTGCGAAACCTGTTCTGAATATGAATCAGAGCTTTGTCAGAACTATCAAACTTTTCGGCATTTCCTTTATGGAGATGGGAAATTAGCTTGTTTTGCACAGACAAAACGCAGTCATGTTCAATTTCGGCTTGGATCTTCTCACAAAAGCTACAGGCATCATACAGATGAAGAAGTTGATTATAAACATATTTCGCCAGGACCGTCTTACCAACCCCGGTGATGCCATATATTCCTAACACCTTTTCACGTTTGTCCCCAATTTTAGTCACTTTCCCATTGCAGTAGTCAACCTTTAGCTTTGCCATTATGCCTGGCACATGAGGATCAACTCCGACTAGATGGTCCGGCACCGTTAGGTCCTCCTTCTTCAGGTTCTGCTGAACTTCGCGGAAAATTTGCTTTATGAGCTTGACATGAATCCTGCCAAATGTCAGCGGCATAAAAAGGACAGGGAAGAGGAGGATTTAAAGCAGAAGAAAGCCTAGCTGTGCGTGATTTGGCCATTGTCATAGTTATCATAATGAATATATAACGGGGTATGATTAAAACCTAGCTAATCTCAACGCGAAAGTAGGCAAGATACATGAGAAAAGTAATCTCAGACCAAAGTGTGTCATGGAAATTACACTTCATTCTTTTCGTGGAGATGGTGTCCGTCCATATTTCCGATCCGATGGAGAGCAGCCTTCCAGGAACCAATGACCGTGTCTTTGATGCGGCGGTGCTTGTGCCCAAGCAAGGATGTTTCGAAGGGGCCCTTGCAGTAGCGTACATCCGATGGTTCGACATAGTAGAAGATGGGGATGATGATGTGATCCCCGTTGTCCACGCACTTCAACATTTGCTCCAATTCCATGAGGCAGCTCTTGCTGGACGCGTAGTCCTTGGAGATGACGGCTATCGATATCTTGGACTGGTCGATTGCCTCGATCAGCCCATCCCACAAATCTTTGCCTTTCACCAGGTCTTCGTCGTCTATGAAGACATCAATCCCAGCACCAGTCAACATAATGTGGAGGAAATTCGCAAAGTGCCGGCGCGTGTCCGGCCCTCTGAAACTCAGGAACACTTCAGGGGGTGGCCTTCTAGACATTAGCGAGGAATGATTCGTAACGTGACTGATGTCTTTGTGTAGCAGAACTTGAGAAACGTATTAATGAGCTCGGTCACTACGTACTTGCAATACTTTGAATGGACCATCATCACACTTATAGACCAGAGTTGGCTTGGTTTTGGTGAGCAAATCGACTGTTGACCGGTCGGTGGCAGCGGCACTTTCTGATCTTCTCTTTTGGTTGGTTCCGTTCAGTATCCGGATTAGTTTTAGAACATTTTTTGGGTCTTCTCATTTCAGTTGATTTTTTATTTGTTTTGACTTCTTTTCCTTTCAAATGACGAAGTACAACAAAGTTCACAAACCTATTCATTACTTTATTTGTGGGAAAAAAGGAGGACAACACGTCTGCTAATCATTCTTCAAAGGAAGGAGTCCACGACTTACTACTATGTAACAAAAGACCTGAAGTCCACCAACAGCATTTAGCACCATTTGGACCAATAGACCGTCATGCATCATGTGATTGGGCTATATTACTGAACCAAAAGCTTAACCAATGATATGATGGATAAAAGCACAAATGTCTTATACGTGGAAACAAGGGAAAAGTACAAAAAAAGGTCAAACATTTTCACATCGGTACCAATTCAATCCATTTGGTCAATTTAGGCCGAAAATTGCTGATGTGGTCGCTAGCAGCTATGTGGCACGATAAGTACTAATGTGGACATTTTTAATAATGTTTTTGAATTTTTTTATTTTTTTTTCCTTTCTTTTTCTTTCCCTTCTCTTTCCGTTGATGGCCGACACAAGCCATGGTCGGCACTTGAGCTAGGGTTGCCCTTGCCACTAGCGGTGAGGGCGAGCCCCGGCGAGGCCGACCCTTGCTGGCCATGGCCTAAACGGCCACCGGTGGAAAGAAAGGAAAGAAAAACAAATAAAAGAAAAAGAAAGGAAAAAAATTATTAAAAAAGTCAACGCCAGCACTGGCTATCCCACATAGGACCACCCGGCGTCCACATCAGCAATTCCTAGCCTAAATTGGCTAGATGGACTGAATTGGTACAAATGTGAAAATGTTTAGGACTAAATTGATATAATTAAAAGATTTGGAATTGAATTGGCACCAATACAATAGGTTTAGGATTTTTTTGGTTCTTTTTCTTGGAATTAATGAATTTGGAAATTGAGATCACGAGAATCTACACACGAAATGATTTATTAAATAGTGAATTACTATGCTAGGAGAGCCATATTTAGATGGATTCCAGTGCCCCCGCAGTTTATGCGATGTGATATACCCTATAGCAGGACAGCCCATGAATCTATAATTGTTGTCATGTTTACAATATATTGGGTATATTTTGAATCCTAATTTGAGTATTCATAGATTATATCTTGTTATTAGAATATTAGGGATGGAATATATTTTCTTAATCCTCAAGTTCAGTTTGGAATTTCTTAAGGTTATTCTATATTGGTGAGGATTTTGACAATATTGCTGCCTGTTGAATTTCCTATTTAAGGTAAGTTATTTTTTCTTCACCCTCGGAGATTATTTAAAGAGCTGTAGGCTCTTAACTATAGATACCCTTAGATATTGAGATTGGTGCGCATGGTAAGAAGATCTATAATTTGTGCAATTTGTCTGCTTCTGTTTCACTGGGAAAGTGAAAACCTTTCAAGGATTGAAGGACAGGAAACGTAAATGGCGAGAAATTTAAAATTATGAGTATGGAATCTTTGCTGGCAATGTAATTTGCACTGGAAATGTTAATCGTATGAAAAAAAAGAAGATTAACAACATGTGTTCTTTAATTGATTGGGTGAACTTATACATAGAGTATGCTTGGTATCTATAATCATCTCCCCACAAACAGCAATTATTAAGTGACACACGCCATACGTGGCTCCTATTATTCAGCAACAGTTATCTAAAACAGTTATCGACCATTATGTTTCAACACTTGGGCACAAATTAATGTTCGTTGTAGTTATACTTGTTGAACAATGATGGAGCACTTGTGGACCAAATTCTATTCATTGATTGGCTAATTCGACACTTGCTCATTTTTTGGTGTTAATAGTTTTATATCTATGTATTCTTTTTAAAATATAACCTATTTTTTATGCTTTGCTTGGGCAACCGTATTTGATAGAATAATATCGATGAATCTTCCTTCCGTAGACTAGCTTTGCTCCGTTACGTATGAGCTAAAGATACACATCATTGGAATTACGCCTCTTTGATTTCTTATCGAGGAGAAGCTAAACAAATAATGATAAATTGTTTTCTTTTTACTACCTCACGAAAATTTGCATGCCAAAACGAGATTTTAATAGTTCCCGATGGTGGAATTCGGACTTCACTTGCGGTTAACGGTAATGATGATGGTTCCTGTCTTTATCCAAAAATAAAAGAACCGTTGGATGTACAGATGTGTGCGTGTGCCAGTCGACGTCATCTATTAGATACATTTATTTCGTCATGAGGAAGAGGATATCTCAAAAGGAATCTTTTATTTCAACAATGCTCCTGATGTCGATCTTGGAGTATGCAACGCATTAAAAACAACTGTCCAATTAATTAAAATATTTTTACTATCGTCGATCATGTCTGTGCCATTATGAGGACATGTACGGACTTCTTAAAAAAAGTGACAATTTTTTTAAAAATTGATACCATAAAAAACCTCAAACCGATTTATTCGTGCTATATTTATCCCAAGCTAATTTTTATATCATAAAAAATCTCGAATTAATTTATCCGTGACAATTTTACCTTTTGTTAGCTTCCTTCCAATATCCCATTAACTTGCTGATGTGAATATACATATGATAAACAATTTGGATGATTGGAGTGAGTTACGTATTTGACGTGGAAATTTGACATAAATGGATTTGTTAAATGATTGTCTACGAACTTTGAACATTTATTGCGGAACAATTCAGTTTAACTTTGACAAGTGCAGAAACAAATTGCAAGTATGAGGTTCTTCTATTAAACAGAAATAGGCAATGAAGAGCATACAGAAAATTTGCACAAATTTGCACAGCATCAACTGAGGCCTTCAATTCCTGGATTTCAGCCTGTAGCACAGCATTTGTAGGTGCGTCATTCCCAGCATCTCCTCACAGTAAGATCTCCCCTGTTCCTTTTCTATTCTAGGGGGAGACGAGAAGGTTTTTTCTTCTTCTTCTTCAATGGTGTTTGTTTCTGGATCACAACAGGGTCCTTAAGCTTCCTCTTCTTGCTTTGCTTGGCCTGTTCTTTGATCCTATCTTCAGAAATTCCTTGGCGGCCGCATCGTCGCCATCACCGATCCTTACCACTTCATTTCTCATATTCAACATCCTTCAGGGGTGATCCTCAGCATCAGTTTTTTGAGAGTCTCCTTCCGAATTTTCAGGTTCACGATATTATCCTTCTTCAATTGATCAGGAACGGAAATGCCTTTTGCACGCAGAATCTTCATGATGAAAGCACGATATGGTTTTTTCCCGACCTTTTTCTTCAAAGCGCGATGCATATGAAGAATAATCATGTGAGGGAGAGAAAACACATGACCGTTGAGAATAGACCCAAGTTCCCAAGCCCCATAATGAGAGATTCCGTTAGTGGAAGAGGCTTTGGGTCAGACACATGATCAAGATTTTCTGAATGAAATTCACTTTGAAAGGCAAAAGAGTAAGAGCATCGTGGCTAAAATTGGGATCCTCAGGCACAATGCAATAAGCATCATTGCAGATGTTACGAAAATAAGAGATCGAACAATAAAATAGACTGAACAAGAAAATAAGTTGTCGCAACCTACCCTCGAGGGGCTGCCCTTGAGAATAGATTTAGAGGTATTGTTCGAAAGACGGTCCAAATGATTCATCGAAAAGACGACTCAAACACATCATCTAATGGTCAACCAATCGGTCCATCAGTTAAGAGCACGGGCTCTTTTAAGCCCATACCTTGGGTGACGTTGGATTTCATTTTTTAGTTCATTAACAACCTAAATATTTCACTAGGAGTTGCCACTAGCCATTGTTGGGGTTCGGCTAGAACCCAATTGAGAAGTGGTAGGTTCATCTCGTTTTCTACGCAACTAGAGATTTCTAGGAACGGGGACCTGATTACGCTAATATTTCTATTAGCACCATTTCGGTACTTAACTAGTTGGTTGTTTTCTAAGGTGGTCATGCCGTCTTGATTTAACATTTATGATCCTAAAGGTATTAGTCTACTAAAAGATCATGCAAATATTTTTTGTAGGAGAATTCACCGTGTTCTAAACTAATCCTATCCTATTTTAGGAAAGCAATTATCAATCAATTTATTGAAGAAGCTCATGATCTGAACTTGTATTGACATTTCATGAAGATTTTTGAAATTCTAACTCAGAAATTTTTAAAAAATCGGAGAACACCTAAGTGTCACTGGAACTCCGAATTTCTAGATTTCAACATTCATTATCAAGCTCGCATATGCTCATCCTTATTCGATTTTAAGCCTGATTTCATCACATATGAGCTCATTCAAGTCACATACAACATCAGTCAGTAAGGATCAACAACATTCATCAACTAACACATGCTTGATTGACCATCAGGTAATATAAATTTGCTTCTTGATCACTTATGTTCATCTATTTAACAAGCTAAAATCAATTAATCAACGAAAACATGCTTGAATGGACTTCACACATGCTCGGCCAAGCCTATGACTAATGGATACACATCAATTTCACTCAAGCAACTAGCTCAACCTAAAGTAATTCTGAGAGAATCTTCCTAAATGTGTGATGTTATGACTGATGTGGAAATTATAATAAAATTAAAACTGAGAAAAATAAAGAACATATAGATTTACGTGGAAAACCCTGGCGGAAAAAATCACGGGGAGACGAGAAACAAAATCCACTATAGACATTCGAGGATTGCAAAAAGGTGGCTAAAAACCTAAAGACTCTTTCTGTCTCAACTTCTTAACCTAATAACTTGAGAAAAATAATATTTATATTGCCCCCAAGCCCTAAAGTTGGCCCATGCTCATAGAAAATTTAAGACATACTCAACAAATCCCCACCTTGGCTTGAATTTTA